GGGGGGGGGTTGGGGGGGTTGATCGGGGAGTGGGGGGCTGGGGCTACGGGGGGTGTCAAAACCCCTGACCGAAGCCCTTTTTTCTCTCGCTCTCTCCTTTATAGGAAAGAATCGATGTGGGCATAGTTGTTTTCAATGAAAAGCTTGGGACATCGGTAGTCGTTTTCCTCGTTTTTTTTGCATGCGTGTACGTGCTGAAGGTGTGTTTTTCCCCCTCCCTTTCTCCCTCCCTCGTTATCCACCTCCTCTTTCTCTCTCTCTCTGTGTCCCCACGGCCCCCATGTGCGTACATATATACATGTACATACGTACGCACATACATACATGCATACGTACAGATGTTGAGTTTGGTCGCATCCAGGCTCGTGACCTGCTACAGCACCTGTGGACCGGACCCATTAGTAACGCCCCCGTGGAGATCATCCAGGGAGGGAAGAGCGTGGAGGTACGGCGTGTATTGAGATTTGGTTTAATTTGGTTTGGGTATTTATTTTCATTGGTTAGGGTATTATCCGAGAACTGTTTTGGGGGTCAATTTTTTAATATTCTATTATAATTCTATCTTAAGCAGAATTTATGCTACTAGAATTGCTAAAAAATCAAATCATAGCATTAAACGAGGATATATATTTTATATCATTTGTCAAAATCCACCGACTTTCTGCCCTGCCGCGTACGTCGCGTCGCGTACACGCATGTTCGTATGATGCCGTACTAATGCCGTTTGCACACATGCATTGCGTACGGCTGTGTTGTGCTGTGCAGGTTCGTCCCGTTGGCGTAACCAAGGGCCTGGCCATGCAGCGCCTGGTGGGCCTTATCGCGGCGGAGGGGGGCATTGAGGCGGCTGCCTTTGACATGGTGCTGTGCATCGGGCATCTGCTGGGGCGAGATGAGAACCTGTTTTCCTTGTTCGAGGGTGCGAGGATCGACGGCGCCGCGCCGGCGCACAACAGCCGCGCCGAGCGCTTCGCCGCCGCGGCCGCCGGCGGCGGCGCCCAGGATGCGATGTCTTCAGGGGCAGCATCGGGCCGGGCACGCGGCCTGGCTGCAGGGCCGGCTGCAGGGCCGGCTGGGTTGCATGCTTCCCGGCTGCATCACGGCCGCAGCAGTAGCACCGGGGGCATCGGTCCTAGGAACGTGTCTTTGGAGGACCTACATGCGGGGCGAGCTGGCGGTAACAACTCCGGAACTGCTGGTGCCGGTGGTGGTACGGGTGCGGGTGCCGGTGCTGGTGGTGGTGCGGGTGGTGGTGGCAGCGGTGGGCCGGCGGCGGGTGCGGCAGCATCTGGCGGTTTCGCCGCCGGTGCTGCATGGCATCCGCTGTCACAGCAACAACAACAGCAACAACAGCAGCAGCAACAACAACAACAACAACAACAACAACAGCAGCAACTGCAGAGCAGCCTTAGGGTCAGTAGTACTATCATGATCGTGTCTGTGTGTGTGTGTGTCTGTGTACAAATCTGGGTTGTACGCGCCCCTCGCTCCCACTTTCCCCAATGCCGCATTCCAAACTTTAAGAGGGGAACGCGCCACACCACTTTCCCGCTGGGCGCGCGTCGTCTCCCTCGACTGTCTGCTGTCGACCTGTCTTCCCGCCCAAACTCGCACCTGCCGTTGCTGTCCGTTGCCCTTCCTGGACGACATCCTTGACAGCTCCCATCCTTCTCATTTCGTGGCGAGGGGGGCCCTTCCAGGTGCCTGGCTGCATGGGGACGTTCTTTTCGATGATGTTTTGATGGATTCTCTTCCCGTCTCACCCTCCGCCCCTCCATCCCCTGCCATGGCAAAAAAGCAACTACCGTGCCTCGACCCAACAGCTCCTAGTCCATGTTTACCAGCGTGTACTGTTCCCATTCCAGAGAGAAAGCATTTTCCTTTTCAAGCACTCTCCAGCCTTCCTTTCTCTGCGCATTTGCCCTTCTTTTCCACCCTTCCTCCCTCCCCTCCTCGCTTCTTCTATTTTATTGCCTCAGGCGCCCTCCGGCATTGCCCAGGCCCTAGGTCGGAGCCTGGTCAGCCAGCCACCCAGCAGCCCCTTCCTGCAGCAGAGCACGACCCCACTGCCGCAAAGCAACTCCCCCCGGGATCAAACCCAGGTGCCCCTGGCGGCGGCCTCGCCGGCTACCTCAGTGCCGGCGCCAGCGCCAGCGCCGGCACCGGCGGCGCCACAGGCGGCGCCACCGGCGGTTCTCGGGCCGCCAGCCCACGCACACACCATACCGCAATTCAGGCCATTCCCTCACGGCCAACCCCACCCTCAATCGCAAACACATCCGCAGCTTGCTCGCACGGGCGCGGGCATGGGGATACCGGGGTCAGGAGCAGCAGCGGCGACAGTGGCGGCGGCGGCGGCGGCGGCGGGCGGTGACCGCCATCACACTACCCACCACATGCAGCACCATCAGCATCACCACCACCACCACGCGGGCCATGGGGGTCACGCGGCGATGCTGCCGCATGCGGGGATGCTGCTGGCGCGGGGTGGCAGCGGCGGCGGCGCGGGGCCGCCGCCGGTAGGTGCTACTGCTGCTGCGGGCGGCGTCGGAGGTGACGTTGGTGGCCAGGGCGCCGGCGGCGGCGGCGGCGGCGGCTCGGGGGTTGTGCTCCTCGGCGCGGGAGGCTCTGCACCAGGTAATTGGGTGTGTGTGTGTGTGTGTGTGTGTGTGTGTGAGAGCGCGTGTGTGTACTTTTGTACTTGCATTCGGGAGTTCCCTGCTGCCCGTCTTAACGGAACTGGGAGGTGGCACACACGTGCAGTGTGCTCATCTTGACTCGTTTCTCATTTCACGTTGGCCGCGGCTGTCCTGGTAGCTGCATGTCCTTCGCCGCAGGTCCTTCGCCGATTCTGTAGACGACTTGAGCTCCTTTTAACATCGGGGCTTTAGGGCTCCGCAACAGAGTGGCACCCTCTCAATGTGGTGCACCAAATCTTCCCCCAACTCACCTCAACGGATCAACCACCTTTCAACCGCCTTTCAACCACCTTTCCTTTCCGTCTCTCTTTCTCATTCCCTCTCTTAGCAGGCGGACGCAGGTTGGCGGCCCCCGGAGGCGGCGGCGGCGCTCCCGGCGGCGCTGGCGGCAGTAGCGGCAGCGGCGGCAGTAGCCACCTTCATCATCGTCTTCCCAATCAGACTCACTCTATGGACCGCGTGGACATGGGGATGCGTGTGATGGGGGCGGCGGCGGGAGCTTCGGCGGCCTCCGGGAGTAGCACGGTGGCAGATCGGGTGAGCGGGAGAGGGGAGAGGAGGGGAGGGGAGGGGGGGGGGAAAGAGGAGGGGAGAGGAGAAAGGGAAGAGGAGAAAGACTGCTGCACCTCCCGCCTTCCTGATCTGCGTTGGTCCATTTGAACTCCTCCCGCGGCCGTCGTGCGCCACAAACACATCCCAACACTCTATGCCGCTGTTCCTGTTCCTGCTGCTTTTCAGCTTGCGGGCATCTTCCCGCCCAAGTACCTGTACACGTGTACTGTGGGGCGCAATCGCAGTAAGGCCCGATACGCCCTGGCCACCAGCGCCGAGGTGGGGGACATGCTGGACGCAATTGTGAAGCAGGTGAGGAGGAGGAGGAGGAGGTGGAGGTGGTGGGGAGGAGGAGGAGGAGGAGGGGGAGGAAGGGGGGAGGGGGAGGAGGGCGGAGAAGGTGGTGGGGAGGAGGAGTCGGGACTCGGGAGGGAGAGCCGAGTGGGAATGATGATGATGATGATGATGATGATGATCATGATGATAACAACAATGATATTGGGCGATGATGCAAGAAGAAGCAGAGGGTCACGGCACAACAGAAGCAACCGCTGCAAGGGAGGGAAAGTGAGGGATGGGGGGGGGGTTCCGAGATGAAGAGGTTGCGTGAGGAGGGAGGAAGCAGCGTCATGGAGGGAGGGAGGGAGGGAGGGAGGGAGGGAGCGGGTGGATTTGTGGGACCATGGCACGGAGGCCGCCTCGGGGGTTCTGGCAGTGTGTTGTGGAGAGGTAGAACTCTAGGTAGCAGTTAGGCGCTTGGAGGCCGGCACTTGATATCATTTTTTTCGCACCTTGCAATGGTCCTTTCATCATCTTCGCCCCTTGCCCCCAGCCCGGTTAGTTCTGCTTTCTTTACATCGGCCGCCGCAGCAGTCTTTCCTTGCCGCATCAGCTTCACGCGCTCGTGTTTCGTCTTTCCCCCTCCTCGGCCCCCACACCGCCACCACACTGCCACACACCCACACCCACAGGGCATCTACCACCTCCCCCGCGCCGCTGTGTGCGCTTCCTCCGCCCCGGCCGACTTCAGCCTCAGCGGGCTGGACCTCAATGGAGGGGGCAGAATGGAGTCCATCAGCTCCGCAGACGCGCTCCTCGAGTCGGCACTCGGCTCCATGCTGGTGGCGCAGTCGGCGGGGGCCGGCGGCTTGAGGGGGAGCAGGTGTGGTTTTCGTAGGCGTAGTAGGGGGGAAAGAGGGCGGGGTGTGTCGGGGTTTACGGGTCCCGGTAGGGGGCTCAATGCGGTGTGTGTGGGCGGGTGGTGTGTGGTTTGAGGAGTGGGACGTAGACGGACGTAGAGAGGGAATCTGGATGGCCAGAAACGGTGAAAATACACACACACTTGCGAGCCAAAACACACCGGACCCTACCCCCTACCCCCAAACCCCACCCCACCCCACCCCCGCCATTTTGAAGGGATGCGGAGCAGCTGACCGCGATGTCCCTTCCGCCCGAGGACTCGTACTCCGCACTCTTGCCTTCCCCCGGACTTCACTTCGCGGGCGTTACGGGTGGGTTTGCCGCCAGCGGTGGCGGCGGCGGCAGCGGCGGTGCTGGAGCCCCGGACGGCGGTGGTAGCGGCGGCGGCGGCGATGCTGCTGGTGGTGGTGGTGGCGGCGGTGGTGGTCCCCGCAATGCGCCGCCGCACCTGGTATCCCTGGGCCATCCGCACTCGCAACATTACGCCTTCCACCACCACCATCATCAGCACCATCACCACCAACAGCAACAGCACCACCATCAGCACCACCAACACCAACACCACCAACAGCTGCATCCACACCACAGCCATAGCTCCCACCACATCCAGCAGTACCAGCAGCACCAGCAGCACCAGCAGCCACTATCAATGCCGCAGTCGCAGCAGCTGCTGCTGCAGCAGCAGCTACATCTACAGCTCCAACAGCAACAACAACAACAGCAGCCTCAGTTGGGAGCTGTTGATTCTTGGAGCGACCTGCAGGACCGCATGTCCCCACCCAATATTACCATCGGGACATCGACGACCCCAGGCTGCGCGACACCAGCAGCAGCGCCAGGAGGGGGAGCTCCGATGGCAGCAGCGGTAATGATACCTGGAGGGGAAACAGCAGTCCCAGGATTCTGGGTGGGGGGAGGTGCTAGTGCATCAGGAGGAGGGTCAGCGAGCCAACTCGCGGGCATTGGCACCGTCGGCAGCAGCAGCGGCGGCGGTGGCTCCGACCACCCCCTCATGGCCCCCGGGAACCCATCCGCGTTGTCGCCGACCCCGCTGGGTCCCCGGCTGTCGGGTTCGGAGCTACTTTTGGCGGGTCCAGACCCGCAGCTGGTGCAGCTACAGCGACAGCGGCAGGTAGTACAGCAGCAGCAGCAGCAGCAGCAGCCCGGGCACAGCAGTCCGACGGAGGTATCGTTGCCAGTCTCAGCGCTACAGCCTCCGTGGCAGCTATTACCTCAATTGCATGAGCAGGAGGCGGCTGCATCAGCGACGCCGGCAGCGCGGCTGCGGAGCATACAGCAACAGCAGGAGGAGGAGGAGGAGGAGGAAATTGAGGGTTTAGGGGGGGATGTGGGTACTGATGGCGTGGGAAGGCGGGCCACAAAGGAGGATGGCCGCAACGGCGGCAGCGGCGGCGGCGGAGGAGCGGCGACGTAATGAAAGCAGCATAGAGGTCTCGTGGAAATGGG